GGGAGGGGAGGGGAGGGGAGGGGAGGGGAGAAGCATTAGTTCTGGGCCAGTTCTGCTCTGTCCTGTAGGGTCACTGTGATTCGACATCACCTCGGTAGAGCATTGAGTTTGATTTTGAACAGTATTCACTTCCACAACACCTAACAACAATATTGAACCTTCAAAACTCTGCTTAACTGATCCTTCCTCTGGACGTCTCTCCAAGATACCCTCCCAACCAAGGCAGAACTCATGCTTCTCTCAAAGGCCTAATAGATAAAGAGTTGTGCTGTCAATCCAAAGGCAGGGAGTTCAAATCCACCAGCTGTTCCAAGGCAGAAAGATGAACAATCTCTTCTTGTGCAAAATAAAGCCTCTGAAAGCATGCTGGAGGGTCAGTTATGAGTCAGTTCTGACTTGACGGTATATAACAAAAACAGCAATAACCTGAAGAGAAATACTAAGGGCTGAGCTAAATCCTCAGCTTTGCAAATTATAAACAGAGGCCTTGAACAATTACAGGATCGCTCTGAACCTCAATCTCCTCCCTAAGGATAATGAGAGGAACAATTTCATTAGATAATTGATAAGTATAACATAAGCCTAGAAAATTAAAATTATATATCGGGTCCCCTCGGTTAGTGCCTAACTACATTGTTTGGCATCTGTTTATACATCTGTCTCCCTCACAAAAAAGCTTACATGACACCACTGGGGTCTTCGATCTTTTTACCTTTAAAATCCCTAGAGATTGGCACACTCACTGACCCATGAAAGCAGTAGGCAGTTGCCATTAAGTTGACTCTGACTCACAGCAACCCCAGGTGTGTCAGAGTAGAACCCTACTCCAGAGGATTTTCAGGAGCACCCCATTTGGAACAGATCACCCGACCTTTCTTTCAGCCTCTGGGTTGAGTCGACCCTCTAACATTTTGGTTAATAGCAAAGCATGGTAACAATTTGCACCACGCGTGGACTCCTAGCTGGTAGTTGTTGTTAACTGCCATCAATTCCACCTAAGTCATAGCAACCCCATGTGTGCAGATTAGAACTGCTCCAGAGAGTTTTCCCTGCTGCCTCTGTGCAGCAGAAGTGCCCAAGACCTTTTTCCAAAGAAGAAATAGCATGCTGGGAAAGGTAAACGGTCGGCAAAAGAGGAAGACCCTCAATGAGATGGACTAACACAGCAACCACCACCACGGCGGGCGTGAGCATGACAGAGATGGTGAGGATAGTGCCAGACGGGGCAAGGTTCAGATGTGTTGTTCACTGAGTCGTTCTGATTCGGTGTTGACTCACTGGCACCTAACAGGCCGGGTAGGTACAGAAGGCCGAATGAAGTTACAGTTGATGATGGACTGTTGCACCGCTCAGCTTCCTAACTGACTGCCAGGGAGACAATGTCAAAACACAGTGCAATCCTGTGAGACTGAGGAGTTTCCCAGAGCATCATTCTTTCCAAGGAGCAGCCGGTGGGGCCAAACCTCTAACCTTTCAATTAGCAGTCAAATGCCTTCACCACACTGTCACCAGAGCTCTTTAACTGAGGCACCCAAACCCACAGTTACAGAGTCCATTCTTACCCCTCATTGGGTGGCTAAGGTTGTAAATCTTAATGGGAGGACTGCACACCCATATTTATTGCAACTGTGTTCACAATAGCAAAGAGCTGGAAACAACCCAAGTGCCCATCACAAACGAATGGATAGAGAAGCCGTGGTATATTCACACAATGGAATACTATGCTGTATTGAAAAACAAGGAACTCATGCAATATTATGCAAAATGGGTGACCCTGGAGGACATTATGCTGAGTAAAGTATCTCAGTCACAAAAGGACAAATATTGCATAGGGCCACTGTTGTAAAACAGGACTGACATCGGGGTTGAGGGAAGACAGAGAAGAAGGGGAGGAATGATGTATACTACACTGAAACAGATAAGGGAGAGAACTGTTTAAAAGGGACATATGATTGGGTATTATTGTCATGACAGGAGTCCAGAATAAAGGCTGCACAGTGGAGTGGACTTGGGGGAGGGGTTGTATAACAATGAAAGAGTTTTACTTTTCAAGGAGAAGAGTGAATTGGGGGGTGGGGGATAGGCAGGGATAAAA